GTCCCTCAGCTCTTCAGCTCAAGGCGAGCGCTCTACCACTTGAGTTACAGCGCCACTTCCGGTTTTCTGGTGGTTTTATTGGAGATGGTCTCTCCTGCCCGGGCTGGCTTTGAACCTCGATCCTCAGATCTCAGCCTCCTGGGTAGCTAGGATTACAGGCGTGAGCCACCAGCGCCCGGCTGCGTTTGGTTTGTGTGTGTGTGTGTGTGTGTGTGTTGGCCTTTTAGAATTGGAGTGTTTCTGTGTGATTCTATTGATGTCAGTAAAATTGTTTAAAAAAAGAGAATAAGGACTTGTTTGATATTTCTACTATAATCTCTTTAGAAGGGTCAACATTTTTTTCCTAGACAAGCATAAAAGTACAATTTGTACTTAATGTAGCTTTCCAAAGCCCCCACTGTTTGTGTTCAAGTTTATTTGCAGGCAAGTCTTACCTCATAAATGCAAAGATTTTAGGACTTGTTTCTAAAGTTTAGACAAAGACATTGGGATAACATTGTGCAAAAAGAAATATACTCATTACCAGACATGTAAATGTAACTCCTCTGTTCATCACCTTTACAATAACAATTAAAAAATTAATGACCTCAAAGATTTAAGATTTCCACCTTGCTGAAGCAAAGAGGGAAACCGAATTTTAAAAATCCATTTTATATAGAATGAAGATATATTTCTATGTTTTTTGGATATACAAATAGATTGTGAAGGCCAGGCATTACTAAGGAAGACAGGTGTTAAAAACAACCAGCTCATCATCTCGCCCATGTAATTGTAACTCCTGTGTACAGTATTTTCACAATAAAAAAATCAAAAATAAAATAAAAAAGTCAACAAACAAACAAACAGCTGTCACATCCCACATCACATCCTACTTGCATTTCTCAAATGGCTGAACATAGGCCAGATTAGCACATGCTTTGTTTTTATGGCTGTACAAAGTAAAATGATGGAATAAAGCTGGAGGAAGCATAGCCAATGATTTAGATGGACAATTACATGTTTTCTTCTAAAGCTTCCTAAACCTTCTATGGTAATGTAGAAAAGTAATGTAATACAGTAGTGTCATGCAAAAAGACAACAAAAAAGCCCAGAGAGTAATGTGGCAGAGGCGAAAGCTGTTAGCGCTGAAGAACTCACATGTTACAAGATCCTCATTAATTTCCATACGAAGGACATTGGTTCATGGTCACCCTAATGACAGGTCAGCTGTAGAGACAATGAGGAAGAAAGTGATGTTTTTCAGCCTGAGAATATAAGTAAAAGCCTATGTTAATTTTCAAAAGGAACACAATCATGCTTTATAGAGTTAGAAAAATCAAATGATCAAGGTTATTTTTTATTAAAACTTCATTAAAAGACTCAGAATATCCAAATTAGGCCACTTTTGGTGAGCACAGAATGAATACAACAAAGAAGTCTTAAACAATAGAGAAACAGCAGCTATTTCTCAGCTGGAAAAGACTGAGGTAAATAAAAAGTTTTATTTTGGTTTATGGTTCTGAAAGTTCTAGTAAGATTAGGTGGTCCTATTCTTTGCTACTCTGACAAATGTGGCACATTCTGGGGGTGGGGGTGGCAAAGGAAATCACTTTCCTCATGAGCTAGAAAACAAAGAAGACTGGTGAATGCCCCACAGTTGCCTCTGTGAGACAAATCCAAGAGCCTGAGGAACTCCCATAATGTCCTGCTATCCAAAGTTTTCCCTGCTCCCATAGAATCACCCTAGGCTTCTTGTCTAAACACCTGGAACTTTGGGAGAGTGTCAACGTATAACAGCACCCAAGTCTGTCAGTCTATCTATGTATCTCTGTATGTATGAATCTATCTATCATCTTTCTATCTACCATCCATTGTTCTGTCTTTCAGTTATCATCGATCTTTCAATCATCTATCTTTGAATTTATTTTTTTTTCTTTTTTCCATGAAAACTCTGTGTTCATTTGGAACAAAATGAACATCACAGTTTGACATTATCATTACATAACATGTTCTTGGAGTACTATTAATAGTAACATTTTACAAACATGCTTAAAACATTCTACTTGGAGGACATTTACCTTTAGTCACTTCATTAGAAAAATAAGACACCAGAACTCGACTTCTAAGTTAGCTTTTTTCCTATAAAAGTATTCCTTTAATATTATGCCATTTGTGTTTTTTTAATTTACAGTGCAAAAACAACTAATAATAGAGATACGTGCTTAAGCACATATTGTCTAAGAATTTAAAAGAAATACTAACACTTCAAAGACATAAATTTGATTGGGATTTAAAGAAGGAAATTAAAGGAAAAGTTTTACTTTACTTTTATAAAAAGAAATGATATTGAAATGTGGAAAGATCATACTGTTTTTAATTAACAAATACATTCTTTGTAAAATTAGAGACAAGGATGAGTTAATTTTTTTAGTTTAATAAGTCAGAAGCAAAGCTTAATGTACTTAAATTAGCTTAGCTCATGATTCCAAAATAAAATGCATTACCTTTAACTTGAAAATGGTCTCATTCATCAATATTATTCTGGGATCTTTCTATTCTAATAAGAAGTTATGTATGGAAGGGGACGTTAGAGTTATCAAAAGGAAAATGTGTTTAGATCAAATGTGTTCCATTGTTACCACATTTTAGTCTCTTGAGTTTGAAATGGCGTTGTTTTAAAATAAACAGATCTCTGTACTACAGTTTATAAATTAGCATACCGATTCTTTGTGTGTTCACTTTAAGTAATACCACTTCATTGATTTTTATCAAGGTTAAACTAATCTAGGAGAAATTTTATGTATGTGTATATGTATGTATATGTATGTATGTATCTATATCTATCTATCATCTATCATCTATATCATCTATCATCTATGTATCTAATCAATAGATACCTTCTACCATTTATCTGTTGATATATCCCAACACTGTAGGACTGAACTAGGGGCCTCATGCCAATTAAGTTAGTGTTCTAAGAATGAACTACCTTTGTACTCCATTCCCTTTCATTTTGAGTCCAGATTTTGCTAAAATGCACAGGTTGGCCTCTCTGGCCCTTATGCTCTCACTCCTTCAACCTCTCAAGTGTCATGATTACACATGAGTGACCCTGTGTAGAACTGCTGGGAATATATTTTATTTTTTGTTTGATAATTAGGTATAGGAAGGTACATAAAGATTCAAACCCAAACATGTTCTTCCCTAAAACATACTTTCAGAAGTGCTTATAATCCCAGATGGGCTTTATGTGTAGTCTTTCTTCATTTAACTTGCCAGTGGTGATGTTCTGTACTTTTTGTTTCTGCCTGAGTTGACCAAGTACATACAAGTGAATCACGCTCACTAGGCCAAGTGGGATCCTGAGCAGTATCACCGCCCTCCTACAAGCTATTTGTCACTCAGCTTCTATTTAAACAAGATATAACTTCTTTCTAGAAGGTTATTAGTTATAATCTTAAAATCTGAATGGATACTCAACATTAACTTTATAGGTATGTATCTATGTTTTACAAAGACATAGACAGCACTAAAATCACATATTTTTACAAATATGTGAAAATACGTTTGATTATGTTCACAAAACATTCATTTTTCTAAATGTGAACCCAAGTAGGAGGAAATTCAAGGACATGAATAATGTTTGTACTCTGGTTTTATGGGAGAGAAAGATAACATAAAAGTCGGCATCAAATCATTCCCATGAGGCTATTTTATGATTCTGCAGTTTTCATCTGATTCCTAATAACAAATGTACTATTTTCAAGATTCTTAGTGATTCCTTATTGGCCGTATTCTCTTGCTTTTACATATATGAGTCACAGCTGGGACTTATATATGTTGTTTGTTTTATATGTGTTTGTTTTATATGCATATATATTCATATATGTTTGTTTTTTAAAGATTTTTTTCAGAGATTGCTAAATTGTAGTACTTGGCTTAGCTGTTGATTTTTCCATGTTATGATGGTGCCAAAGCATAGACATACAAACATTCCAGTTTTACTTTTGGTATAAATTCAATAAATTACTTAAGGAAGTACTTAATACTTCCATTAAACATGTTTTGTGGTAGATGGCTTTGCCTAATGGAAGGATATGTTTTAAGCATGTCTATAGAGTTTAGGTTAGGTATATTAAATTACTTATTGACTTA